TATATATTTTTAATTTAATTTTATTCCGTAACACACATACATACATACTTTAACATACATACTTTATCCATTACATTATGATAGTACTTTTAAAATAACTTCAATCACGTAAATGGTTGTCAATTTTAAACGTACCTGTTCAGTTTTTCAACTAAACAATATTTATTTCTATCAAAATATTATACAGAAACAAAATAATATATCTGTAATAAAAGTACCGATTTGTTCCCATTTATATTTGAAACATAACTTATTTTTTCACTACGCTCATCTTTCATCTATGAAAGACTTATCAAAATATATATAGCTTTCCAAACACATCCGCTGACGTTGACGAACGAATATTACGAATGGTAATGTTTTGGTAATTTAGATAACTCCATTTACTTGGTATATATATTTATTTTGAGGAAAAAAACGTCTACTTCGCATTCAAGGTACTATTTCAGTCTTGATTCTTAAACTTCAGCTTTTATTTTAGTAGGTATTGTCTCGAAAAATGGCTGAAATCAGTATTTACAGTTATCAAATAAAATTTGATACCCAAACGTTGTCATCACAAAATTATTATAAGTTCAGTATTATACATAAATAAAAATATTGGTTTCAATATAATTAGTAGCTATTCATATTTTTACTTTGTAACTTGTATGTACCATCCCACACGACAATATTTAAATTTAAATTAATTACTGTAATTTGAAATTAATTAATTGATAAATTTATTGACATTTTGCAATAAAAGCAAAGTAATTGTTCATCCTTTTTAAATCTTAAAATACTTGTTATCACTTGAAGGCATTTTAGAAATGTTTTTAATTCCTTTTAGTAATAGGTAGACTTTTTGGAGAAGCATTTAAGCCCCTTAACCACTGTTTAACTATTTTATGGTAATACATAAAAACACAAAACGCCTGAACTGGATTGTAATGAAGAATCGAAAAAAATATTGTTAAAAAAATATATCAGGCGGTTTCAATTTTTATATTAAAATCTTTAAAGATATTTCTTTTATCTCTATATTCCAAAACTTGAAACATATATGTATACAATTGGAAAATTGATTCAAATTGACAACTATACTTGTATAAAGTTTACCTAAACTTAATAAATTTGAGAAAATATTACGCATATGTAAATTAAATATGATAGTTCAGTGACTGTTTTCATATATGCCTCTACAGACTTGGTATCTTAACTTTTCAAAGTAGGTAATAAAGCTTTCAAATTAACAGGAATAGAAAGAAATATAAACAAATAATAATCAAGACAGCAAACTAATGATAAATAATTTAAACTGAATTTATAATTGTGATTTAAAAACTATAAAGATGTAGTAATATTACGCAAATTATATATTACATAAACATACGTAAGATCGGTTGCATAAGCTAGTGTTTCGTAGAAAAACTTACATGGTTTTTTTCCAATATTAGATATATTAAAATTATTGTATATATTAATACATATAAATTAACATACGATTACAATATTTATAATTCAAAATTGGCTTGATTGTTTCAAAATATTAGAAATTTATATTGAGTCTACAGTCTGATTGTAAAAGAATAATTTATATGTTTTAAGGAACGTTAATGAAGAAATATTTAGAAAAGAAATAGATAATTATAGTAAGTAGAAAAAATGTAACAAACAATAAAAATAGGGAAATAAAAAAATTTCATTCAAAATAAAGTTATAAAAATTTTTATCTTACCTATATTTTATGTCTCAGTTTAAAGTACAGAGATCGAAAATACACGTTATTTTTCCGAAGATATATCTCCACGTATTTTATTACTATATAATACATAATACAATATAAATGTTTTCTTTATATATTGGATCCTTCAGTATTCAGACGACGCGAAGTATTTCTCAGTATAACGCCTCAAGCAAGACCACGTTTGAAATTAAACATTCTAACACCAGAACTAATTCAGAAATACTTACGAGAATCAACTATATTTAAAATAATATAAATATGTCTTATATGAAAGAAATTTCCAGCTTTTACGTAATAAACACAAAATATACCTAATATATTTTGCTTGTGAATCTTCAAAATAAACCGAAAAACCTTAAGCCATTTAAATGCATCAAATTCTAACAATACCGGTCTTAAAATTAAATTATATTAAAGCACAATTTTCGGTAATATATACAAAAATACGAGCAATGAACCAAATAACTCTGTGACGTAACAAAACTCCAACATTAAAATCTTTTATAAGGAAGATGCAATAGAATATCGAATTTAGCGCAGACGGTCATTGACCCGGCATCGATCGCAACAACTAGGTCAGAGCCGCTATCATTATGAAGTCGGAAATGCTATGATACAGCACGTGGTATTAGATATATTAAAAATAAATCAATTATGACATAATAGAAAACAGAGGAAACACCTCTAACCAAAGAAAAATTTGGTAGATTGCCTGAGAATTGTATGCTAAATGTCTGTACGCTTCTTTTATAATTGTTTTATTTCTTTTGAGGAATTAATAAAGTTCTTAAACCATAGAATTGTGTCAGAAATTAACAGCAATCAAAGATATTGACGAAAATTATAGCAAACTTCCTATTAAGTATCATAAAAACTCTTTTATTACGAGTTATACAACTTTATTAAGAGCTAGTACAATTGATGAGTTTGTCATATGTCGTAGTGCTAACAATATTCTTTGGTTTTATTAAGAGATTATTAATATTTACGTTGTTTTCTTCTGTGTTGGGAGAAGATTATTTATTTATTGCACAGCCTTACCATATTTTTTTTGTCTTTAGTTTTAGGTATGTCCAAAAAACATTTCCTTTTCAGTCTCAAGTGTTGTGCAAAAAATCAAATTAAAGCCTATAATGCAATTAGACGTTGATATTTTAAACAATTTTATATGCTAAAAAGACTACAAAAATATAAGGATTTATATAGGCCAAAAATAATTTTTTTTTCCTCTGGCTTAAATCGTGAGCAAACTCGTATTAAGTAATTGATATAACGCGATTTTGTTTGCATAAAAAAAAACCTAAAAAATCTTCTTATCGTTAATCGATTGATATTTTTTTCTTTTTTTTAATTAATTTTCTCAAAGACACTTCTGATCGTAAACTTCAGTCACTATCGTAAATGGTAGAAACAGTCCTATGGCATGACAGCAATGGACATTATTTACACGACGTACTACAACTGAAACTGAGACGTAAAATCGAGCAATAAAACTCAAATTACATCAAAGCTGAAAGTCTATAATGATTTTTATAGCAAAAATAAACTTTAACACAAAGTAACAATGTACATTTTCTCTTGTAGGGAGGACGGGAAAGCGTTTAACACTTTAGTGGCTATTTGCGTTAAGGTAAAACTAACCTTAAATAGGTTACACAAATTGCATTTTCGTCTGTATAAAAATATATTTTACGGTTATATATCCCTTAAACGGTCACAGCCCGGGCCAGTTTATTTGAAACCTTCGAACCGTTAAAATAGAGGTTAACTTTGCGTGAAATTATGTTAAAAGGTAATTCTAAGGTGGTAATTTATTACCGGAAGAAAAGGGTGTTCCAGATACTGACGGCTTCAGACATTATACGATATGAAGTCATTAAATAAAAGAAACTAGAAAAAAGATGATTTTTTTTTGAATAGAAAGTTTTTTTGTAGTTGAATGAACTCTATTTATTACAATGAAAAATGTTAAAGGGAAAATGGAAATAATTTTTTTACCTATTGTATAAGTACTCGCGTGTGTATATGTGATTTTGTATGAGTGTGTGTGTGTGTTTGTAAATGTGTGTGTAAATGCCCTTCATAGGTATATATCTTATTATATAAACAAATGATTATTTGTTGCTACATCACACATATTTAAATTAAAAATAGATATGTAATATATTAAAGTCCTATTTTGTTCCTTCCTTTAATACAATGTTAACAACACATAAAGATTTTTTATGTGGATTTTCTTTGTCTTAAAATCTTAAAGATTTTCTATAGAAAATTCCAAAATTTCGATAGAAGCCGATGAAGTAATATTATTATATTTGTTAATAGTTCAAGGTTATCATTCTTATAAGACAGTGTCACAATATCCAAAGAAAACTTGATATAAATATATCTTTTACGTAATAGGAAAAGCCAAGGCTTCTATAACGACGGAATTATGTTTATTACTGCAATAAAGGGTTTGTAAATAAATTATCTATTATATCTTTAATTAATGTACATCTATTTTATGGGTAAAGTTAATGGAACTTATTAGTTTCCATGTGTATTGCATTCGAAGCAATAATTGCATCTATAAAAGAAGTACGCAATATTTTATTGTTTACTAGTTTTTGCCCGCGAATTCACCCGCGTTAATTTCTGAATTAGTATTTCATATATGTGTAGCTAGCTCCTAGAGGCCATAAATAACCAGATATTGGAATTTATTAAGTTTTTTTTTCTTTTTCGATCGAACAGAATTAAATATATCCTCTCCACCAATCTATCTCTCCACTAATGTTCAATCATATCCATACAAACGTTCTTGAGTTATAAATAGTGTAACTAACACAACTTTTAATTATATAGATTCATTTAGAATTAATATTTTTATTTTAGTTTAAATAAATAAATATATGACGTAACTGTTAATATAAACTTTTTGTTTTTCATTTTGTAGTAGCAAAAGTAAAATAGCACAGTAAATGAGAAAATCATAAATAACAATAGAAAAACCAATTTTTTATATAAATAAATTAATTTAAATCTTCTTGTAAACTAGATTATCCTAAATCAATACGTAGGTGTTATATATATAACAGATTTGGAATTCTCACGGCAATATTTTTAACTATGGACATCATTACCTAAATAGTAAATGAAATATATAAAAATAAAAAAATCACTAACAATGAAAAACACCAGCCGACCTTGGACTTTATTTTGGCTGCATTTAAACATAATTAATATGGAGTTGTTTAATAAAATTATTTTCTTACAAGACTCAGTTGTTATCATGGCGTCAAAGGCACGCGTCACATTTAATATCCTGCTTGCGGCGTTAATAATCGAAAATATATTAAGATTTCCTTTAGTTACTTTAATTAATAATTCGTTTAATAGTACCATATACAAAACACCTGAATTCTATGGTATTAGTTTAGAAGAGCATAACGTGACGACTGAAGATGGTTATATATTAAAAATATTTAGAGTAAGTGGGAGGAATTGTGTTGTGAAGAAGAAGCCACCAGTGATTCTGATGCATGGATTACTTCAGAGTTCAGATGTTTGGTTCGATGCTGGACCCAATGCAGGACTGGCCTATCTCTTAACAGAGGCTTGCTTCGATCTGTGGCTAGGAAACCAACGTGGTAACTATCACGCTAAAAGACATTTGTTCCTGGATCCGGACAGAAATCCACGTTTTTGGCATTTCTCTGTCGATGAAATCGGCTTTTATGACATACCAGCGACAATAGATTACGTTTTAAAAGCAACTGGTGAGAAGAAACTCAATTATATTGGATACTCTCAAGGTGCTGGCACTTTCTTCATCATGTGTTCCGAGAGACCTGGATATTGTGATAAAGCCAATGTCTTGATCGGTGTAGCCCCAGCTGCTCGTCAAACTCACACTAAGTCAGTGCCATACAGAACTATGACGAAAAGTGTTGAAAATTTAGAAAGTACTCTAACAAATATGGGTATTAACGAATTATTTGCAAGAGGATCTTTCGGCCAGCAATTCAGTTCTTTCTTCTGTAGCTTGAATTCCATAACCGCCGATGTGTGTGGACTATTTATCGGATTTATTGACTCTCTTCATACGGAATCAATTAATGTGAAAACCTTACGTCACCTTTTCAGACATTTCCCGGATGGAACATCAACACACAATATTGCTAGATACGGCCAGAGTATGTCAACGAGATTCTTCCAAAAATTCGACTATGGTGAAGCCAAGAATCGTAAGATCTATGGGGATACAAAACCACCGAAATATAATCTAAGTGCGGTCACTGTACCGTTTGTTAATCTGTATGGAAGAAACGATAAGCTTGTGGATCCAAAAGACATTACCTGGTTAATAAAACAGTTACCAAACGTCTTAGAAGATGTTGAAGTAGCAGACCCAGCGTGGAATCATTTTGACGTAGCTTACAGTCAGCTATCAAAGAAATTGATTTATCCTAAAATAGACGAATATTTGTCGAAATACAGTGATATTATGTGACACAAATAAGTGATTTATTATGAGAAGGTTGAACTTTTATGTCATGTGTTCTTCTCATTAAGTTAAGTGTTATTTACTTACAATACAAAGGTAAAGTCATTGAGATAGACGACTGATTTCACGGAAATCAAGTTAATTAAAATATAAAAAATAAAAGTGTTTGTTTCTGTAGTGTAAAAAGACTCAAAGTAATATTTATTTAATGTTAATTACTTTGTAATCATTATTTAAATTTGTTTTAAATATACGTGTGTTTTGACGTCACTGTTTCATACATAAATTATAATATATTATATGTAGTGTTCTTAAATTATTTTGTATAAAAACCTGTTATAAAACAAAAGTGCAAAGTCCTCGGACGGTCGTTAAAACGTCTTAACTATTGATCTGAAAATAATTCTATGAACGGAGTATACTCAAATATATTTACTGTAAAAGGAGTAACAGAATATAAACAAGATTTCATTTAAGTTAAGTTGAATTAAAAAAAAAACTGTACATTCTTTGAGTCATGTTTTCTTTTATCAAAACAGCTGTAAATTCTTACATGCTACAATGTTTTTTTGTCAAAACAGAAACAAAATTTAAATACTATTATTGTGTTTAACAACTTTCTATATATTTTTTTAACAATATATTTATAAATAAGTAGAACGTGAAGAAGAAAAGCGTCTAGACGTTTTTATAACTCTCCAATCAGAAATTCATAAATTCTGCTTGAAGATCTATTCGAGTTCCTGCCCACATACATACGTCTTAAATCTTGTTGATGCATTTATCAGAAATAATACTATAGTACAGACACTGATTATGGCCTAAGAAGGATATACTTTTATTCAAATCCTATAACCAATATGGTAAGGACTATCTTATACCTGTCAATTTCCCAGCTTAAGCCAGAGTCTGCATTACATGTTGTGAATAGTTTTGGCTATTTGTTTTTATGACCGGCCACCTGCCTGACATGAACCCTCTTTCGGAATGCATTAATCAGTGATGTCTAAATACTCTTATAAAGTACATATGACTCGGAAAAATCACATTGGTACTTGCCAGGGCCAGGAATACGGTAAGTAATATCACAATATAACTATAACAAATAAAAATATACTCAAAATTAAATATTAAAATAGATTTAAATTAATTAGTATTGTTACATCATTCTTTTAACCGTGACATATAACAAACAGACGTATAAGTAATACTGACTGATAGTACTCACCATATATGTATTTTACGATAAATATCAGGCTATAAGGAAGTATTAAGTACAAGTTAATTTCAAGATCAAATCAGATAATGCCGTTGAACTCCCAACCTCGCTTGCTTCGATTGTAATGTCGCAGTAATATTATTAATATGAAAGTTTATGAATTTTCGTACGTGTTTTTATATTGCCAAGGTAATATTAAGATTTCAATATGATTAAAACGCGACGAATCCATGGAATATATGCTAGTTAAGAATTCTTTACTAAAACTATGATTATATATTTAAATATAAATTAATTTGCGGTGAAAAATATAGTATGTTACTAACTCAGTTAACAAAAGTATTAAAATTGAAATGATATATTTATACAATGCGTTCTAAGATTTTCATCTCGTCTGCCCGTGAGCACAAAAAAGTAACCAAAACATCGGGAGTATGTAGTCTAAAATAGTAAAATAACACGTAGTACATCTTAAAATATTATTTTTATATATATTTATACAATCATAAGGCTTACATCCACTTATGTATGTGTATATTTTTATTGCATTTTTGCCAAGTGCAATTTATATGAAACTCCGTAATAAATTCTACAAATCAAAAGTATCTAAGTTATAGATATATTTTGATTGAAACTGTGACATTCAGTTTCCATTTTATCGGAAGTTTCTCGACTTATATGTGACGTAACCCATGACCCCTCAAATAATCGTTGAGGTCAATGTACGATTAATAACTGATAGGATTTCATGTTCACGTATTATCTTATATATAAAATTCTCGTATCGCGTTGTTACACAGAGATGACAGAACTCCTCTGAAACGGCTGGATCGATTTTGATGAAATTCTGTGAGCTTATTGAGTAAGTCTGAGAATTGCGAACATTTATTTTTCATACCCCTAAGTCATAAGGGTTGTTCACCCTTTTTATTATTATTTTCGGACGAAATTTTTTGGTTTAATTTTTTCTATAATGTATGTAGTATCAAAAATACATACAACCCTAAATTTTTACTTTTTTATCACAAACCCCTATTCTTTTATATGGTAAAACAACGTTTATTAACCTTGGAATGAATCGTTCTTTCCCAAGCATGAAATGAACCGATATCGTGTGATGTTTTCCCTGATTGCAATAAGACATTGTCCTTTAGAAATCAAGTTTACAAGTACCTTTTACATTAGCAATGAGAGGAACAAATTTGCAACTAACTTTATATAGAAAATATACAAGGTGACTGGTGAATTACTATCGATACTTGAGGACGTGATATTTGACGATCAATATTAATAAACTTCTAAGTAAAGTTAACCAAAAGTTATGTAATTAATTACGCATCGTGTGAACACCCTACAGATTATGTATACACACACACACACACTTGGAACACTTGGAACGTGTCCACACTTTATTTATTTATACGGAAATTTGGTCAAAAATTAAGTACCTATTTTTTTTACATAATTCGAATGAGAATCATGTACCAAGTATGCTCCTTAAATATTGATAGTAATTCACCAGTCACCCTGTATATCGGCAAAGACACTATAACATCTAGCATAGTCTGCTTATTTGCTGATTTCTTTGTCATCCTTGAAAAATAATATGATCATCTCCTAACCTAGACATAACAATAACAGGACCAACTGACAGACTGATCACGGTTGTAAAGTAACCGAAACGTCTGGAGTATGTAGTTTAAAATAATAAAATAAGCCTAGTCCGAAAATATTAGTTTCATTTAAATGAATACTCGCGAAATTATTATAAATTAACCTAGACATTTCATAAAATTACTAATAATGTAATATTACTTGATTATTAATATTTATGTTGCAATTTATCTTAGTTACAATATCAACGGGTTCAAGATCAGTGTCACAATCTTAAGTTATAATTATTATGATGTATTTCCTGCAACTTCGTTTTCGTACTTGAGTGTCATGGTTGAACCTTATTTCTTATAATCGTATAATTGTTAACGTTTCAATGTATTTCTTTGTAATTTAAAAATATTGAGTCGATTTAGATAACATTTATTGTATTTTCACAGTTAAATTTAAAATAAACGGGAGGAATTTAGTCTAAATTAGTTAAGGTAATATTTTATTACTTATCCATATATATAAAAGAAAGTTGTGTTAGATACATTATTTATAACTCAAGTACGACCTAGTGATATGGTTGAAAATTGGTTGGAAGATAGTGTAGAACCACGAGATGTGACCTGTTTGATCTAAATAGAAAAACAACTTAATAAACTCAAATATCAAGTAATTTACGACCTCTAAGGAACAATAGAGTTCGCTCGGTCAGCTATACACATGTAGGTATATTACGAATTCCGAAATTAACGCGGACGCAGTCGCGAACAAAAGCTAGTTTTAATATAAAGGAAAGTCGATAATAAAAAAGATAACTGACATTTATACACAACCTGCTTCTTCTTATATGATTTTTACGAAAACAAATAGTAAAATTCAAGGTAATAAAAAAGGCAGTTTGGTTACATTTAGTTCACTTAAAAACTGTTTCGCGACATGAACCAATTGTGAAACTAAACCATTTCAATAACAATTATCTAATTGACAAAGACCTGGTTTCAATACAATCAATATTCAATTAATATCGTGCCGTTGAACTACATAAAAAGACATTATTATTGATACAGATTAAAATATTAATAAGGTAATTTAAAACTTATAATTTGACTTTGGTATTGTAATACAGGGTGACTGGTGAATTACTATCAATATTTAAGAAGAATACTCGGTACATGATTCTCATTCGAATTATGTCAAAAAAATAGGTGAGACGAAACTACTCAGCATTCCATGGATTCACCGTGCGGGTGCCGGGTCCATCGCGTTGCAGGGAGAGGAGCTTCAACAGTGCCTGGGACTTGCGACCCAGGTGTAGGTTTAAGGGGCCCCTTAACTAACGCGCGTGATACGCTCCCCTCCACTGTCCAAGCTCCTCTCCCTACCTAACCAAATTTGAAAAGAACCTACTAGGGCTGCCTTCGATATACGCTCCAAGAATGCATTAATGTGAGTTCTGGACAAGCCCAAGTCCTTTAGTAGGTTGTAGAGAGATTTCGCTGTTATACCTCTCGCTCCCACCTCTACCGCGTACAAATCTACTACGAACCTATTTCGAGTGAGTTCGTTTCTGAGCTCGTAATATTTGTTGACCTTGATGGTATGGTCTTTGGGGATGTTGGTTTCCCAAGGGACCGTAAGCTCTATCATCACTACGCGCTTTAAAATTCGCGAAAACAAAAATATATCCGGTCTGGAGGCCGACTTACAAATATCCTCGGGGATTTTATATTGTTTTTCATACGTGTCAATCATTATAGTTCAATCCGATTAATTTTTGACCAAATTTCCGTATAAATAAATAAAGTGTGGACACGTTCCAAGTGTTCCAAGTGTGGTCGCGTACGGTGGCGTGCTGATACAACACCACGCCGCCGCACGCGTGTGTGTGTGTGTGTGTGTGTACCTAATCTGTAGGGTGTTCACACGATACGTAATTAATTACATAACTTTTGGTTAACTTTACTTAGAAGTTTATTGATATTTATGTTATATTAATTTTTATTTTGTCATATATGGTCGTCAAATATCACGTCCTCAAGTATCGATAGTAATTCACCAGTCACCCTGTATATAAAATGTAATATAAATTCTCAATCCTATAATAAATATAACATACGCAAAAGTTACTTTTAAAATATATGTAGAACAGTATTATTATTACTCAAAATAATTTAGATTTCCA